AGTGAAGTCTTTATGCTTTCACTACCACATTGTTTGTCTGAGTATTTGAAGGTGTGTGAGCATTGCTAAACAATTATATAATGGACATAAAAAGAATGATTTTTCATTTGCTTAAGGAAAGTTCTCAAATGCAAATTTGGCAGGAACCTTGCTTAAGTTGTTACATATATAGGAAAGTTCATTTACTGATTTACTCCAACTTTTGAATTACAAAGAAGGAATGCAATGAATTACATGGAAGGAACCAGAAGAAATATGTAAAAGAAAGTGGCACATTAGCTATGTATTAATATTGAATGAAATCAAAGAATGTACATGAAATTACACAAAATCACAATTTTAGGATAATGAAGTATTACACCAATTTGTGAGAGGTGCTTTCAAAAAAGCGAATACAAAATACCAACTTAAGGATCAAGCTAAGCAGCACCAATTATAGGGAAAGCAGGTGGCTTTTGGCAAACAGTAGTTTATTTGGAATGGCAGGTCTTGGATCCCAAGGGAAGAATCTGCCGCTTAGAAGACAATGACGACACCAAAGAGAGTTCCTTTACTGGATCGGGATTAGTTAGGTTTTTGAGAGGAGAGCGATTTTTGAAAAAAATAAAAAGAAAAAGGTTTTGGAATGAAGGAGGCTGCTGCTGGAATCGGGAAGATAAGCTGCCTGCTGTCGAGGTCTTTATTTTATTTTTTATACCTGGCTCAAAACGACGTCGTTTTGAAGCTAGGTTTTTTAAAAAATTAACACGCCTGGACCAAAACGGCGTCGTTTTGGCCAGGCGGTTTAAAAAAACATAAAGAAGCTCGCGCGTGCTGCGCAAGGCAGGCTCTGCATGCGCGCAAGCTTCTTCTTTCTCTGCTGGGCATTTCGTCGAGCACTTGGTGTGCGCCTTAGGGTCGCACACCAGCCAGCCATGGGGTCGCACCAGACCTTCTCCACTGCGTTTCCCGGCTGCCATGGGGTCACCTGACCCCATTTTTCCCTCTGTGCGTCCGCCCCTGCTGCTAGCAGGTAACTAAAATTAAGTATGTTGAATGTCTCATTGAATCAATTATGGGAGGAGTGGAGGGATTAATCATCATCCTTGATTCTGAAGGAGGATTTTGGTGCCCTTGAGATCCAGGTAATCGTACTTTTATCTGATCTAATGTTGTAACACAAGGAAATAATAAGAAACAGTTGACATCAGTTATGTTCACAATGCTGATTTTGTGTAAATATTCAGCTTCTTCCAGAGAAGGCAGCGTATTATATGAATTATGCATCAAGAGTATCCGTTCCTTCAGCTAAATCTCCAAAGGGAGCATCTGGTTTCCCTTTTCCTGGTCAGGAGAGTCAGCTAACAGTGCCTATGTTTTTTCTTGGTAATGGCAGGTTAGAAGCTGCGGTGCAGAGAGTGACCAATCTATGCTCAGTTTTGAATGATCAGCCATACACCGAAAAAAAGAAATAAAAAAGAGCTAATAATTTGGTCCCTCTATATTGCTAATGTATATGGTTGAAGACTTGGTCAGCAGCTGCTTCATAAAGCCAAGCATTTGGAGCACGGCAGGGGGCAAAAGTCCAAGAATATGTCCAAGGCTCTTGGCAATGGCTTACAGGTTTAGTTGCTGCAACACACGACACGAGCTGGTGGGTATTCACGCCTGAAACACAAAAATGAAGGCAGCAAGGTAATTTTGGCAAAAGGGGACTATGCCTACAAAACTAACATTATGAAGAGCAAAATAGTTTGCGAAGCTTTATTTTCTATGAGAGACATTTTTCAGTACTTCTTTCTCTTCAATAGTAAATATTGGTTCACGAGTAGATATATAGTAAACATAATGAGGTAGGAATAAAATGATTTTTTTAACTATAAGCGACAATCTAAATTACTTTAAAATTTTCTAATTTATCAGTGAGGGGGATTGAATTGATGTCTGGTGTAAAGGGATAGACACCCTACCTTGACCAACAAACCCTAATCCACATCTGCGAAATAGAATGAGAAATTGAGAGAAACATGAGTGAAAATGAAAATTAAAAATTAAAAAGAAAAAAGAAAAAAAGGGGAAGTTCCCTATAAAAATTTGAAAGAAGAGTGGGTGGATCCATTTTGACTCAGGCCCAAACCTCCATTTAAGAAGACTTGATGGATCCACTAAGAAGCCTGGATCTGTCAATGGCCCACCGGTTCGGGTTAAGACCCATTCAGGAATGTGGGTCACGGACTTTTTGCTGTAAACTGAAAACGAAGACGCGAAGAGATGAAAGGTGAGAACTTGCTTCTGCAGAAAACCAGAGGATTGAGAAGGCATGTGGGCGGCAGGAATCTCTCTCTCTTCCCCATTTTACGCATACCCGAAACCCATTAACAGTCTCCGTAGCTCTGTTTCAAACCGTACGGGCTCCAAGTCTTTGAAGCTCAGAGCTTCCTTCTTCGACTATCCACTGGCAAGCAAAATATTGGTGAAAAGTATGTATGCCTTTGATTCTAAAAGCTCAGAGATTTCTTCTTCTTTCTATGTATTTTTTTAAAAGTTAATTGTATGCCTTTTATTTGTTCTTTCTATGTTTTTTTAAATGTAATTTGACTGATTTGGCACCTGGGTCTTCAATTTGTGTAATTTATCAAGTGGTCTGGCTCTTGTTCTGCGACTGCTGAAATTTTGTGGTTGTGATATAATTTATGAAGTTAATCAGTTCGTCTTTACTGAGCTTTGTTGGTTTATTATCTGGGTGTTCTTGCTAGTGAAAGTTTTGATATAGTTTATGCTGGAGTTTAGCTCTTGATTGTTTAATTTTGATTGATTTAAATATCTTACCTCATCTCATTTGTAAATTTCTGGACTCTTTTTGTTTCATTCTCCTGTGAGTACAAGTGCGTTAGTTGGTAAACTTATTTTGACTACAAATAACTTGGATAAAGTGTTAACAAGTACCCCAGTTTTGCGTAGATGTTAAAAATTGAATCAGTATAGGGAAGTAGAGGAAGTAATTAATAAAATTTGGTACACGGGAGCAAGAGAAATGCAAGTTGCGGTTCAAAATATATGAAAATAAAATAGATTTAGAAGAAGTTATTGATTACAAGATGAAGTGAAGAAATCAATTTCGCCTAGACCTGTACATGAGAAGTAGTTAAAGGGATCAATCTGATCTGTATCTGGGACCGATGATGACACTAGAGGGTAACAATGAAGGCAATGAAAGATGTATTAAGATATGGAGAAGTGATCCACTAGCTAGGCTGAATGCAATGAAAGATGATAACACCAGCTGGGCTGATAGTTGAATGCAACTGTTGAACTAGCTAGGAAGGGGTTTTTCTACCATGTTTTCACAAAGAGATGGTAGATGTCACAACAGCAAGATCTCCACCGGCGAACGGATTCTTAATTCTAATCATAGACGTTCGTTTTAGAGCCTGTTCTGTACCGTATGGTATAGGTTGGTAGCAGCTATAGCAACTGCACCGTAATCACCAGTTACAAGTTCTAGGGTGTTTCTTTTTCTGTTTTGTTTTACAGATGTGCTAAGGTATGAATAATTGTTATTTGTTCATTGCATAGTCACATTCCTGGTCCCCTAACTCATTCCTCTTACTAATCATCCCATCTACTCCGCCTCTCTGCAAAAAGTAAACTTTCAGAAATTATCATTGTCTCTAGTTATTCAAGTTCTAACTGTATTATTTGAGCTGCAGATATACCGTATTCCACCAGTGAGAATAGTTTGCAGGAGAAATTTTCGAATTTCGGCCAGATAGCTGAAGGTAAATATCTTGATATCCAATACATTTGTTCAAAAGGCATTAGTTATGTCGGATAGTCTGCTCCACAATTTGTTCCAATACATTTATCCAAGTCATATAACTGTATTTACGTTGTCTGTCTGGCAGTTAAACTAGTCAAGGATGAAATCTCAAGAAGGTCCAAGGGGTATGCGTATATTCAGTATACCAGTCAACATGATGCTTTGCTTGCCCTGGAAAATATGGATCACCAGGTTCTACCTTGTCATTTCTCTTCTGCATTTGTTTTCTCAGGAAATATCACCGGCGACTCATTTGCTTTTATTTTTATTTTTTATCAGAATCTCGATGGCAGGATTATCTACGTAGAGCTTGCAAGACCTGGGAAAGATGCTTATGGAGAATACCCGAAAACCTCTGGTCCCCCAAAGAAGCCGAATTTACAGCAGCAAGAGGAAGTTTCGGACTGCTGGTACTGAGATCTTGATTGGAAACAACAGTACACGCTCGATCTATTAAAATTTGATGAGGAGGCGGGATGCAAAGGTAGATTTCACTCCTGCAACCCAATGGGGCACAAAGCATTAACATTGTGGAACTATTAGCCCAAGGGGCTGTGATTCTGTGAATGTCATCACTGTATAAGTGTATGTTTGGAACAACTTGGCTGTGGTTGTAAACTCCCATCCAACTTTGTCAAAAATACACCAATTAAGATCGATCATAGGATCTGAAACCAATTAACCGTTGTTAATCACAAGCGCACTCTCGTAAACGGTGGACACTAGTATTTCTCGTAAACTGCTGATTTTGGTTTAACATAAGTTGAACGTGACTCATAACAGAAGAAAATGTTCTACTGACAGAGCTGGCAGGGCTTCTCTACGTATTTTATTGGATTGAAGAAGAATTTGAGTTTTCTTCCCGTTGATTTTCCTGTCAAATTTGGCTAGTTTGACTAACCTAAAGAATCAATTCAACGTTTGTCTGGTAGGTAGCAGGTGAAACAACACAGGCGCCATTGATTTTTTTTGTAGCAAATATATCTTGAAGAATTTTAAATACTAATTATTAATTAAAAAGTTGACGAAAAAAAGAAAAGAAATTTGAAAAATAAAAATAACCGTTCTTGTAGCAAATATATCTAGAAGAATTTTAAATACTAATTATTAATTAAAAAGTTGACGAAAAAAAGAAAAGAAATTTGAAAAATAAAAATAACCGTTCTTTTGGCTGTAGGGACATAAAACTAATAACCGTTTTTAATGAAATTAAAACAACAACGTTAACGAAGGAATAATCGAACTCTTGAAGTGAAACCTCTGCGTAGGAGGGTTTGTACGTTGACGTACAAGACTGCAACACAAGTGGTCCTTGAGAGAGAGGGAGGGAGAGGCTTTGATGCTCTCTGTTTTCTCCGAAACCCAAAACCAAACAATTTGCAATTGAGGGTGTGAAGGATGAAGGATCAGAAGCAGAATAGTGAGGAGCGACCAGTGAGAGTATATGCAGATGGCATATATGATCTCTTTCACTTTGGCCATGCTGGTTCTCTCGAGCAAGCCAAGAAGCTGTAACGCATTCTCTCTCTGTTCTTTTTCTTTTCTTAGTCAAATTACTTGTTTATTTCTTGAAAGTCAAGCAATTTTCTTTCAAGACTTGAAATTGTTTATGGGTTTTGGTCATTGTAATTAGATGCATAGTCGCTTGAAGATTGGTTTTGTGATATTATTGAGTTCATGATACTCTTGCTTTCCTTCTTCGTGTATCCATGTATGTCTGTCTTGGAATTGGAATTTGAGTTCAAAAAGTTTATTCTTTGTTCTTGTTTCTGCTTTTAGTAGTAAACTTGATATGTGAACCCTTGCTTATGCTTCTTTTGGTTTCTAGGGTAATATATACTTAATGCAGCTTGATTTAGTTTTTAAGTGTTCCATTTATGTCTCAATTATAGGTTCCCAAACACGTACCTGCTTGTTGGCTGCTGCAATGATGAAACCACCCACAATTATAAGGGCAAAACTGTTATGACCGAGAAGGAGCGCTATGAGTCACTCCGCCATTGCAGGTTGGTTATTGCATGAGCCTAAATTTTCAATCCAGTAATTTTCTTTTTCCTACTCTCTATTAGGTTGCAACTTGAAATAACACACAGAAGGGACGGATAAGAAGTATTTGTTAATCTTATGCTTATTTCTATTCTTGTGTGGTCTTAGAATTCATTGTTATGAACATTTCTGTTGTTAGGCTTAAGCTTGCGTTGCATCTAATGAAAATTGTTTAATTTGTAGAAATTAGCTTTCCTTTTAAAGCATCCTGACATTTCCCCCCTTTTGCTAATTTTTTCATGGGATGGTAAAATTATTGAATACTGTATTTTTGCATCATCACTCCCAGTTGGCTACTCTTACATTTTTTTATATAAATGTTCCTAATCATTGTCTTGTAATATATTTGCTACAGATGGGTGGATGAAGTTATTCCTGATGCACCATGGGTGCTCTCGCAAGAGTTTCTTGACAAGCATCAGATTGACTATGTGGCACATGATTCTCTTCCGTAAAGTTAACCAACCCCAAATAAATTACTTTGATGTACTAGATCAAGTTTTGAAATGCTTGAAATTGTTTTATTCTTGTTTTTCTTTCACTTCACTTCGTTATAAGGGGATAAAGGATTATCATGGACGTGGATAGAGAGGGGTATGTGCATTTTGATTTGGGGCAGATCGCGCTATAATGTTTTTGGAGCACTTGTGGTGTCCTAATTGTGTTTAGGTTGTTTATGACAAGACCTTGTCAAACGACTGAATTCATTTGCACGTTTGTGATGTTTGTACTTGGTTCACGATTTTATCTCCATATAGTATGACTATCTGTACTACTGGAGATTAAATCATCTTCTTCCATGTGGTTTTCAATTCATCTTATTCTTTTCCATGGAAGTTTATATTTTTATACCTGTTAAAGATAATCGTATATCCTTAATGTGCTAATTCCTTCTTCTCTCTCCTAAAATTGTAGCTATGCTGATGCAAGTGGGTCTGGAAAGGATGTCTATGACTTTGTAAGTGTTAGTCATAGCTGAACGTATATGACTGTTTTCTATTACGGATATTGTTAGGCCTCCTCTACTCCTTTGTGTCTGTCAAGGGTGTTTATTTTCTTTCTTCTTTTGTTCTTTGTAGACCATGATGTAAGTTATAACCACCCTTTTAATGTTGACTGCACTAGATTCCGGGTGGCAATAGAATATTTCTAACTTTTTAAGGCCAAATTTGCTTCTAATTCTCTTGATATTAGGTTTTTGTTATCCATTTTAACCCTCTTCTTTCCCACTCTGAATCTTATGTTTCATCTTGCTCTGTTTCAACCAATTATTTAAGGATTGTGTATCTGTGGCTCTCTAGTGTGAATACTTCCAGCCTACTAACTTTTGTAGTGGTTCTTACTTTGTTGAATTTTTTTCTATCATTATTTGACTATTATGCAGGGCTTGTTTCATTTTTATATACTTACATAAACTTCCAAACAGGTTAAGTCTGTTGGAAAGTTTAAGGAAACAAAACGGACTGATGGGATTTCTACATCAGATATCATAATGAGGATTGTTAAAGATTACAACCAGTATGTGATGCGTAATTTGGACCGTGGGTACACAAGAAAGGAGCTAGGTGTTAGCTATGTGAGGGTATGTTCTTGTTTATATGAATATCTTATGTTCAAGTGGTCATTTTCTTTTCTAGTGCAAGTGGTGATCTATATCTTCCTCATTTCTTACTATTTAGGAAAAGCGACTGAGAGTGAACATGGGACTGAAAAGACTGCGTGAGAGGGTGAAGGAGCACCAAGAAAAAGTAGGAGAGAAGGTATGTATCTCGTGATGCTTAATCATTTTTGGTCCCTTTTCATATGTATCATTGATTATGAGTATCTGGGACTTTAATCCAGGAGTATTATTCTACTACATAGAATCTTTTCTTTGATATATGCGTAAATAGGCGTGCACAATAAACATTTGGTACTCCTTTGGCTACGCATCATAAGATGTATCCTGGATTGTGGTTTGCTTGGGTTGTAGTGAAAAATGTGATAACTTTGCACAATGATCTTGAGATTAATCGTGGAAGCAGAAGAAAATAATATTAATGACACAGAAGTGTCTACAGATAAGCGAAGGTATTTGAAAAATGGCCCAAGTTGATGTCTGTTACCCTGCACATATAAGGCTCCGATAACCTATAATTGGGCATGGCTATCAGTTTGGAAGTTCCTTTCATAACCTGTATAAATTGGTGTTTAATATAAGCTTAAACATCGTTAGCTTTAAATGTATGCACTTCCTGGTGGAGCTTCACATTGAATAGATTAGTTGCATATATCTGAAAACAATGCATATTTATTTTGACTGATGATAGTCCAAAAGGAACTGGAAATGTGTATTTCCTTTGGTCCACTCTTTCCAAGGGTATTATCCCTTCCCTCACGTTCATCTATTCAAAGGTCTTGTTCTGTTTGCAATATATTCTGCATATTTCTGCAATTAAAGCATATTTTTATCTTTCTAACAGACTATGGGACTTAGTATGTCTAAATGATATATGTGCTTTGGCATTTTTTTTTTCCTTCATAAATTTGTTTACAATGCAAAGTGTTTCTCACATATTAGTGATTGCTTGAGAATAGAAAGTGATTTGGACTCCGCTAGAGTGAACTTTAAATATCAGAAAATATTTTGGCCTCAGTAAGACTGTCACAATATGCTTGCTCACATTTAGTTCCCTGACACTGTGACAATCTTGTTGGTTTTGCTAAGCCCATGTTATTTCCTAACAGAAGATGACTAATAAGTAGTTGATTGGTTTTTTCCTCCGTTGTTACTGTGCAGATACAGATAGTAACAAAGACTGCTACAATGCGTCGTAATGAATGGGTGGAGAATGCTGATCGATTGGTTGCTGGATTTCTTGAGAGGTTTGAAGAAGGTTTCCACAAAATGGTTGGCTCTCTCTCAGTTTTGTTATATGACTTACGTTTGTATGCACAAGCTGATTTAAATATATTTAGGGAAGATATATTTCATTTGCTTTTACTTCTGTAAAACTTGTTGTGGTCTTCTATCAGGGAACAGCCATAAGGGACCGAATTCAAGAGCGAATAAGGAAGCGGCAGTTCAGAGGCCTTTTATATGAAGAAGATGATGATGATGAGTTCTATGACGACTCTGAAGACGAACATGATGATGAAGACGAAAAATAAATTTATTCTTGTTGATGTCCATTGGTTAGGCTGAAATACTTATTTATGGTATTAATGTAGAAGTAATCCAATAAGAATTCCGAAGGCCAAGTTTGTGAAACAGCCTAAAGTAAGGCTTGGATCTTCAAATACAATTATTAGTAATCTTTCCTCTTCAAATACAATTATTAGAAACTATTTATGACGAAAATCTCAAATTGTACAAAAATCCTACAAGTCATTTTTAGCGTTATCCATGGATGAATGCTAGCGATGTGATGTGGTGGGGGGTGGTTTTTTTCAAAAGGATCTCATTCGAGTTTCCACAAATGAATGTTTTCTTGTTTCCGAATCTCTCACATCACATGAGGGTGATACCACCATCAGGACATGTTATTGAGCATTTTGGACTATCCTACTTTGCTAGCTTGTGTGCATAGGTTTCCTTGCAAGTGTAACAAAACGAAACTCATCCCTACCTTTTTCTTTTTCTTTTCCATAATTTGACATAATGTGATCCCTCTCACCTCTACACATAGTGAAGTGGCTTGTCCTTGAGAGAGAGAGAGAGAGAGAGAGAGAGAGAGAGAGAGAGAGAGATGAGGACATGTAGTGCTAGTGACTTCCATGACAGCATGTTATTGAGCATTTTGGATTATCCTACTTTGCTGCAAGAAGCTCAAGAGGGGTGTTTTAACTTCGCTACCTTCTTCTTCAATTGGTGAAAATTTAAATTCATCGATAAACAATTAATATGGTGGCAATGCTATGCCCGATGGACATAAACTTACACAACTTTTGTTTGGTTTTCTAATTTTCCGTCTACATAGATGTTCGATCTTTGGAATATTGGGATCCCTAAGGATTTCCTTTTCATTTCATAATAGGGGAGTGGAAAGAAATTCAGATTGAGATCAGAGCAAATCTAAGTAAGTGAAAATACAGAGACTATACATCTTTCACATTTTCTGAAATTACACTTGTCTTTCCTATATAGTGGATATTAGTAGTACAGTACTAAAGCTACCAGTGTTGGACTTCAGTATAAGTTGAAGCTAGAAATCTCAATTTTATAATAAATCTTTATGGCATTATTGGCTGCAATATTATTATTATTATTATTCATCTACCTGAGAAACTTTTAACTTTGTTGGACAAAGATTTAAAGGTCCAAAAGTAGCTTTGGTTAAGTGTGAATATAATATAATTTTAATTTCATGCCAAACAAAAAGTATGGAAACAATAAAAGAGCTGCCATAGTTTCATTATTAAAGGTGAATTATTCTACCCAAACACATACAAAATTCTTTCATTCTGAACTCCGTAAGGAAAGAATGACTCACAAAATCTAAGAAGACAGGAAGAGAAAATAGTAAAACCAAATACATATGAAGCTCAAAACAAGTTCATGAGTTTCTGCAGAACAGATCCCATCTGTGATTTTGAATTAAGCTGAACATGAGCTCCTAAGTCTCTTAGGTTGTGACAATTTCAGCAAGAGAGGGCATGGAGCCACTGGACTTGAGCCTATGCCTGCAAGTAGGGCAAGAAGAGTGGCAGAGCAACCATTTGTCAATGCATGCAACATGAAACCAATGGTTGCATTTGGGCAGGACCCTTATCTTGTCCCCATCAGAAAAGTCTACCAAACAAATAACACAACCGGAAGAAGAAGAAGATGATGATGATGATGATGGAGAAGTGTTCAAATTGGCACTATAAGTTGAAGTGGGCAAAGCTACCATTTCCTCTTTCTTAAGCCCTGAATTAAGCCTGCGTGAAGCTACCCATTGGACCGGTTCGATGAGGGCACGGTTGGCACACTGGAAAACACATTGTAACATGGAGTTGAGACCAAGAGCACATACAAAAGCACAGAAAATGGCTGCCAAGATGACCATAGAATTGAGATGGTTTGGGGGTTGGAGTTGATCATGATGAGGGTCTTGATCACAGAGTGTTCTGATTGATGTTGGACTAGGAATTGGAGGAATTGGAGGGGGTGTTTGAGCCATGGAGATAGAGATGAAGTGGTGGAGATAATTGGGAACTTTTGATAGTGTAGTGGTGGAGAAGATAGAGATGGGAATTAATTAGTGGAGAGGAGGGTTATGCAATGCACATAGTTGATTTTACATGCTGAAAGGGTACTTGCATTTGAGGGAGAAAAAAGCAAGTCGAGGCTAAGTATGAGTTAATGGATGGAGGGTGTGCAGAGTAAAATATATAGAGAAATTTTTCGGGATCATGCCACGTGATGTTACAATTCATCTGTGCCATATTATGTGTAACTTAAAATAGTAACATCACATAACATTGTTATTATCACACCTTAATTAATTTTCCATGATATATGGGAAAAATGGTCCTCAAGTAATGGAGTGTGTGGAGAGTAAAATGATTGATGAGGAAAATGGTGGCATGTTTGGATATGCTTACTTGGCAATCCACTGTCTTCTCTCTCTTTTGTTTATGCGCTTCAAAGATACGCCAAGGTATATCTATATATCTCCCTGTGATCTATCTAAAGAAACCTTACCCATTCTTATTGGTGCTTTCTTTCTTTCCATCAATCAACTTGCACTAGACATCAAGGTCTTTTGAAAAAGTAAACCAACTCTACTAAGACATTTCCTGTGTGTGAATCTTTTATCCTATTTCTTGATTGGAATTTCAATATTTCAAATGGGCTTCACTTAAGGCTCTGGTCTCTTAGAAGGTTTATCTTTTCAGAGCCAGGCCAGTCCTGAAAATTCAATGGCAGTTTTAGGTTGAGTCGGAGTTGAAATAGAATGCTAGGCCCTGCCCATTTTGTAATAAGTTGTGCTAGCAATGGTTAACCACACGGCTGCGATAGCCGCTAATGAGTTATAAGTCTAATTATTATCAACAGCTTACAGTTACTCACGATTCATCACGAGTGAACTCGTATTAGATACAAACATTATCCAAATAAGGTCCGGTATTATTAAAATAGCACTCGCTTGCAAAGAGTATCATCAACAACATGATCGGTATATAAAAGCATAGGCTTCTGTTGTTTTCTGATTCATGCCTAATCTTTGTTTCTTTTAGATAGTTTTGGACCTCCCAAAGTCCTTTTCCCAACTCCAACAACCTTCTTCCAACGTAGAGTGCTTGTCTTTTATTTGGTAGTTTTCTGAGTGGAGTAGTAGTCTTGGGCAATTCAACCAAGCTTTGACAATTCACTGGTCAAGGCACTAAAATCCAAGAAGGGAACATCACAGTGACCACCAACATAAACTAATACTAAAGAAATTTAAATAAAAACTTAACCACCTTAACAAGTATGAAATTTTATTACAAGCGATCTCGGTGTTATTCGTTATAAAATTATTTATTATACGTTGTATATTATGTTGTTAAATTTTCGAACTTGCTTTCTTCAACCATCTCATTTGGATAGTAGAGAAAAGTTTAGTATTTCATTTCTTTCTTATAATCACATTCACAGGCCAATATAATAACATGCAATAAATAAATAAATGCATCCAACTTCTTATCTCTTACATACATTTTAGGGAATCTGCCTACAACCATATATATTAATTAGGTCTACTGGTGAACAACCAGAGAAACCACAGCATTTACCACCTTCTCACTCTCCACAACCACCACATTGTTTGACACATTTGTCACAGCATGAGTTGTGAACTTGGCCTCCCCTTTTGTATAAAATGAGTACTGGAAATTATTAATCATGTTGGGAAACACCAAAACAGAAGAAAAATCAGCCACCCATTTTGTCCCATTGCCCTCCACATTCAATCTCCCCACCGTCGATTTCAACCCCATCCCAACCACATTGTTCTGATCAATCACCACTTGATCAATATCCCCAAACTGCCCCTCTAGTTGGACTATAGGAACCTGTGAGCTACCAGTAAACATATTGTTCACAATATTTAGCCCAAAAATCTTGCCATTGACAGATTTTAAGACTATATTTGCATCACCTAAGAAGAACCCATTTGTCACATGAACTTGAACCGGGTCTTCCAAGACTATGGCATTGAAATCCAAGTAGCAATTATCCAATCTGGTTTGAGAGTTTCCTGCCAATTTTACCAAAATGCCTATGCCACCAAACCCTGTGGCCTTATTATAGCAATGTACCCCAGTGACCACGTTTGCCTGGCCCCTCAGCATAATACCAATAGCAGCCGAGAATATTACAACGTCAGTAATGGCATTGTCATTGCTAGCAAGGTCAATGGCAGTGCCTGTAAAGTCTCTTTCACCTTTGTCCCCTCCAACCGTTGAGTGCTGCCCCAAGAAGGTGTTTGATATGAAGGTCTCGTGGCCTTTTTGGACTAAAATGCCTTCTGTTGTGAAGTGGAGGAAGAAGCAGTTGGTTATTCGAATTCGGGCCGAATCGACGATGAAAATGCCTCCTCCTCTGAAGCTTGAATCGAAGAGAATGTCTCTGAATGTGATGTCCTCATAGTAGATGCCTACATTATTGTTTTGGACTTTGTCAAAGAAGAAGGCATTGCTGGCGATGGTGGCTTTTTGTTTGAGTTTTTGGGAACTTGGTGACCATAGTTCAATGAGATGGCGGTCCCCTGGAAATGTGGATGAGCCTCGCAGAGATCCTCCTTGTACCTAAATAATGAAAATTAGAAGAATTTAATTAATTAAAAATTATTTTATGTCAAAATCAAAGGTAAATAAATATGTAAGCACCAAACAAAAAAAGAGACAAAAGACAACAAAAACAAAATAATGAATATTAAGCAAGGTCGGTCATCCGAGTAAATTAATATTGGAAAAGAAGAATTGTGGAAAAAGGAAAAGGTTAATTTGTCTATGAAAAAGTAATATCCGTCAGAAGCATTTTGTGATTAAGTACGAGCCGAATTTCGAGCGCGGATTAATCCTACTTTTCGAGCGTGGGGCACCTCGTTGTATTTACCCAAAAAAAGTATTATGTACCAACAAAAAGAAATGACTGTCTGACTCTGAGACTGAAAAAGAAAGCTCTAAAAGTCGGTGCACAAACTACGTCATGGCGACGTAGCACAAACCCCATTTTTGCAAAAGCTTATATTTTTTCTTTATTTAGAATATAATAATTTTATTTCCGGGTTAATTTCTATATATTTTATTTATCAAAAGACAAATGTAATTTCCATTAGTAATTATAACTCTTATATATATTTCATTTTTTGACCTTTCACACGG